TTTAATTGAATTGCGGACTATCTTAATGTTAATATTAAGAGCTGAAAATTTAAGAGGATTTTTTATTATTTTTGAATTTCTTTGCTCCCGAGGGCTCAAATGCTTTCAAAGGGATAAAAGAAAATTCTCTGAAAGTTTTAGCTCTTAATATTAACATTTAGACAGTCCGCAGTTCAACTAAAAGTTTCGTATAGTTATTATTAAGTAAATTCTTACGCCATCTGTGATAGCAGACTTGTAATTTTGATGGCGATTTTTTTCTGATAATTTGAGTGTTTACATTACCAATTAAATAAATATTATAATAATAATTAAATAAATAAATATCGATTTAAGGGGGTTGTTCTTTCCTTTGTTACAAAAAAATGCAAGGTATTTGTTTTTGTTTTTCTCGAAATGTATTGATCATAGAGACATGCGGTTTTTTTTTAAACAAAAATTACAAAATCATAGAATATTAAGAAATTTTATAATTTTTTTTGTCGTCGTCATTTGTTAACCAGGGGGCGCCAAAGTGGGCATTGTAAAATCGATCTCTTTTTTGAAACAAAAAAAAACGAAACTACGTTGAAGAAGAAGTTTGAATCCAGTCCCCACTACCAAAATAAAAGAAAAAAAGCAGGAAGAAAACAAATAGCAGCTCTTTAAAAAAAAAGTGTCAAAAAGGGCCCTTTTTTGGGGCGAGAAGCTTCGCAAATTTTTTTTGCGTAATGTTATCAAGTGGTTTGAGGTAGGGCGACTAAGTATTGCAGTGGTGAACAAATTAAAAAAAAAATGCAAGTCGATCCGACTTGAAAAAAGTCAATTTGAGATAAACGTATTTAAAGTTTTTAATATAATGTACTAAATACACCATTTAATTTAATGTACTTAATATACATCATAGTGTTCAAAGATGCTGACACATTAAAAAGGTCATGTGCATGAGGTGTTATAATGAAAAAGAGAGCAGCTGGCATACAATAGCTCGCGGAGCGATGAAAAAAAACGGTTACAGAGGATATATATATATATATATATATATGTGTGTACCTTTTATTATTATTATTATTATATATATATACCATTTATTATTATTATATATATGTATATATATATATATATATATATATATATATATATATATGTAACTTCGTCAAAAAAATAGATATTGAGATGATTTTTTTTAAAATAATTCTAAAGGTTTTAGCTTTAATAATATCAAAAAATCTCAAAATCGAAAAAAAAATAAATAAAAAAAGAACAACCCCCTTAATTAGAGGTCAAGTGATTTATGAATATTTTCATTTGAGTTCACAAATGCTATCACAGATGTCGCAAGCATTTACTTTACAATAAATATACGAAAAATTTAATTGAATTGCGGACTATCTTAAAGTTAATATTAAGAGCTAAAACTTTTAAAGAATTTTCTTTTATCCCTTTAGAACCATTTGAGCCCTTGGGAGCGAAGAAATTCAAAAATCCATATTAAGGACCACCTTGAATATATATATACATATATATGTATACATTTTTTATATCAATTACGATCTCAAAATGTTTTTCCCCAACAATGAAAACGAATGGACCATTTATTGTATGACTTTTAACATTTATAAAATGTTTAAATAGACTTGAAGGTGTATCGTGTAGTTAATTTTGTGATTATATAATATTTTAGTTTTAAAATTTGGAGAAAATGTTTGTGTCGAATATTTTTGAGCGTTTAGGAATGAGTGGTGTGTAAATATATTTTGGATACGATTTATGTTCGATGTCTCGGGAGACAATGAAGGATTGTAAAATATTTTATATGAAGATCAAATTTTGCTTGAAGTTTATTTTATAAGCTCTGATTGTATAGTGATAAGTGTTGATAAATATTATAGGCCTGTGAGATGTGAAGAGAAATGATAATTGATTGAAAAATTAACTGAAATTTATAGATAGATACATGAGATTTGGTATACTTTGTTTTGTGGTTTCGTATACGTTTTTATACAAATGTGTTTTGGAAATTTCTGAGAAAATTTATTGATTTTTGGTATTTTTTTGTTGTTAGACATGTTGAAGTATGACATACTAAAATTACAACATTCTATAACATGTGAAAGTATTTTTAAAAAATTACAACAAATGAAAGAGTTTTTACAAAATGACAATGATAAGTTTTTTGTGTATTTTTCGTATAAAAATGTAAATATCTTGGAAATTTCTAAGAAAACTTATAGATTTTAGTATTTGTTGTTATAGTAGACATACTAAAGTATATCTTACCGGAATTACAACATTCTACAACAATTGTAAGTATTTTTAAATATTACAAACAAAGAAACATATCCGAAAAACTTGTCATCAAGAATGTTTAGGAATACTTTCGTTTGATCTAATTTTTCAAAAATATTTTTGTCCGTTGTAGAATGTTGTAATTTTAGTATGATATACTTAAGTATGTCTACTTTAACAACAAATACTAAAATCGATGAGTTTTCTTAGAAATTTCCAAGATTTTAGCATTTTTATGGAAAACAGTACAAGAAAAACTGACATAGAATTCTGCAACAAACTACATTCGTTTGTATTAAATGTTGTAATTTTTAAAAATATTCACAGTTGATGTAAAATGTTGTAAATTTAGTATGATATACTTTAGTATGTCTACTTTAACAACAAATACTAAAATCGATGTGTTTTCTTAGCAATTTCCAAGATTTTAGCATTTTTATGGAAAACAGTACAAGAAAACTGACATAGAATTCTGCAACAAACTTCATTCGTTTGTTATTAAATGTTGTAATTTTTAAAAATATTCACAGTTGATGTAAAATGTTGTAATTTTGGTATGATATACTTAAGTATGTCTACTTTAACAACAAATACTAAAATCGATGAGTTTTCTTAGCAATTTCCAAGTTTTTAGCATTTTTATGGATAACAGTACAAGAAAAACTGACATAGTATTCTGCAACAAACTACATTTGTTTGTTATTAAATGTTGTAATTTTTAAAAATATTTACAGTTGTTGTAGATAGTTGTAATTTCAGTATGATATACTTTAGTATGTCTACTTTAACAACAAATACTAAAATCGATGTGTTTTTTTAGAAATTTCCAGGATTTT